AACAATTAAAGTCCCAAAACATAAGTATTTTGGCCACAATTGAAGGCGGACTCAATCCAAGGGCCAGAACTAAATCAGCTAAAGAGTCGGCCGCTAAGACTTTGGTCGATGGCTTCGTAATCGACGGCTTCCATACATACGGCTCTCAAAGCGACACTCAATTGGATTATGTTTCCGTGAAACCAATTCTTCACGAAATTATGGAGATTTTGCCGAAAGACAAACCAAAGATACTGTTGGGCGCGCTCTCACCCAAACTCATCATTAAACTCATTGACAGTGGAATCGATGTCTTCGACTCGTCTTACGCTTCGGTTATGACTGAGAAGGGATTCGCTTTACAAGAGGTGATAGACGTGAACGGCTTAAAAGTGACGGAAAATTCATTGGATTTAAATAGTAAACAATTCAAAGAGGACTTTGGAGTAATTGGGACCCACTGTCAGTGCTATACGTGTGTTAACGGCTTCTCCAGAGCTTATATCAACCATTTATTGAATGCGTCCGAAATGTTGGCCAAAGTGTTGCTTATGTTTCATAATTTACATACTTTTTATCATTTCTTCGCTCAAATCAGACGGCTTTTAGACGAAGACTCCTTTCAACAGTTATTGCGTTAAATGTCTATAATTTTCATTGATTTATATTTTAAATAACATTAGTTATAAATAAGCGAATTTTAAGAACAACTTTTAAGTTATTTTATTTAAATGATATTTTATTGAATTATAAATTGAATAATTGTAATTAAAAAGTAAAATATAATTAAAATGTCCAAAAACTAAAGCAATATTAAAAGATTAATGTAAATGATAATTATTTTGAGAAATAAATATTGAAACATATAATCAATTTTCATGAATTTAATTTTGAGTGTCTTTGTTGTCTTCAACAGCGGATGTTTGATGAATGACTTGAATGGGAACCACTCTCTGGTTGTCAATCATTGGTTCGACACGTCTTTTGGGCGCTTCGATAGTCAGCACTCCATTCGAGTCGAGCGATGACTTCACGTCTTCGGCTTCGCATTCCTCTGGAAGTGTATACTTTCGGGTGAACTCACGGCTAACCCATCCGTGATTATCCATTCTCTCTTCGTGTTTGCCATGAATTATCACATCCCTGTCCACTGTCTTCACCTCAATCTCTTCGGGAGTGAAATGATTGCAATCGAGACTCACTTTAAACTTGTTGTGATCGCTCTTCACATTTGCAGCAACTCTTTTGCCATTATCTCGAGGAATATCCAATACAAACGATGGCATCAGAAGACTGTCCAACAGATCCTCATCTTTGAAACGAGACCATCGACTTTGAGGGCGACAATAGTTGCGATGATTTGGTACGAAAAATAAGTCCAAAGCCATTACTGTTGAATAATTTCAATTGAATTTTAAAATTATTATCAGAAAATTGAATTGAATTAACAGTTATTGAAATATTGTTTCCAAATTCAAGAACTTGTGAATAGTTTCCAAAAGTTTTCAAAACTTATTTCACTTTATTTTTCACTTAATTCTCAATGCATTCAAAACATTGCTTTATATACAAGTTTTGCAGTGAAACCAGACTTTTGTAGAAATATCTCGAAATTTGTTGAAATTTCATGACTGAATGTAATATTTGTTCAAAAATAACGTACGATTTGAATAAGTGTTTAAATATGATAAAATAAATGCATTTCTATATAACAAGACATTAAAAGGGAGTGAATTTACGATAGATTTGTAACGTTATTAAAGTGTGAATATTATAAAAGTTGGAGACTTTTCTGGAGTATTCGAGTAAATTCTGGTTTCTCTGCAATACTTGTATATAAAGCTATGCTTTGAATGCATTGAGAATTAAGTGAAAATAAAGTGAAATAAGTTTTGAAAACTATTCACAACTTTTTGACTTTTGAAACAATTTTCTCATTTATTGTTATTTCGATTGATATTAACTGAAGAGTAATGGCTTTGGACTTATTTTTCGTACCAAATCATCGCAACTATTATCGCCCACAAAGTCGATGGTCTCGTTTCAGAGATGAGGATCTGTTGGACAGTCTTCTGATGCCATCGTTTGTGTTGGATATTCCTCGAGATAATGGCAAAAGAGTTGCTGCAAATGTGAAGAGCGATCACAAGAAGTTTAAAGTGAGTCTCGATTGCAATCATTTCACTCCCGAAGAGATTGAGGTGAAGACAGTGGACAGGGATGTGATAATTCATGGCAAACATGAAGAGAGAATGGATAATCACGGATGGGTTAGCCGTGAGTTCACCCGAAAGTATACACTTCCAGAGGAATGCGAAGCCGAAGACGTGAAGTCATCGCTCGACTCGAATGGAGTGCTGACTATCGAAGTCGCAACTATTGTCGCCCTCAAAGTCGATGGTCTCGTTTCAGAGATGAGGATCTGTTGGACAGTCTTCTGATGCCATCGTTTGTATTGGATATTCCTCGAGATAATGGCAAAAGAGTTGCTGCAAATGTGAAGAGCGATCAGAAAAAGTTTAAAGTGAGTCTCGATTGCAATCATTTCACTCCCGAAGAGATTGAAGTGAAGACAGTGGACAGGGATGTGATAATTCACGGCAAACATGAAGAGAGAATGGATAATCACGGATGGGTTAGCCGTGAGTTCACCCGAAAGTATACACTTCCAGAGGAATGCGAAGCCGAAGACGTGAAGTCATCGCTCGACTCGAATGGAGTGCTGACTATCGAAGTGAAGAGAGAATGGATAATCACGGATGGGTTAGCCGTGAGTTCACCCGAAAGTATACACTTCCAGAGGAATGCGAAGCCGAAGACGTGAAGTCATCGCTCGACTCGAATGGAGTGCTGACTATCGAAGCGCCCAAAAGACGTGTCGAACCAATGATTGACAACCAGAGAGTGGTTCCCATTCAAGTCATTCATCAGACATCCGCTGTTGAAGACAACAAAGACACTCAAAACTAAATTCATGAAAATTGATTATATGTTTCAATATTTATTATTTCTCAAAATAATTATCATTTACATTAATCTTTTAATATTGCTTTAGTTTTTGGACATTTTAATTATATTTTACTTTTTAATTACAATTATTCAATTTATATCTCAATGAAATATCATTTAAATAAATAACTTAAAATAAGTTCTGTTTAAAATTCACAAATTCATCATTATTTTTATTAAAAATATAAATCAATAAAAATTATAGACATTTAACGCAATAACTGTTGAAAGGAGTCTTCGTCTAATAGCCGTCTGATTTGAGCGAAGAAATGGTAAAAAGTATGTAAATTATGAAACATAAGCAACACTTTGGCCAACATTTCGGACGCATTCAATAAATGGTTGATATAAGCTCTGGAGAAGCCGTTAACACACGTATAGCACTGACAGTGGGTCTCAATTACTCCAAAGTCCTCTTTGAATTGTTTACTGTTTAAATCCAATGAATTTTCCTTCACTTTTAAGCCATTCACGTCTATCACCTCTTGTAAAGCGAATCCCTTCTCAGTCATTACCGAAGCGTAAGACGAGTCAAAGACATCGATTCCACTGTCAATGAGTTTAATGATGAGTTTGGGTGAGAGCGCGCCCAACAGTATCTTTGGTTTGTCTTTCGGCAAAATTTCCATTATTTCGTGAAGAATTGGTTTCACGGAAACAAAATCCAATTGAGTGTCGCTTTGAGAGCCGTATGCATGAAAACCGTCGATTACGAAGCCATCGACCAAAGTCTTAGCGGCCGACTCTTTAGCTGATTTAGTTCTGGCCCTTGGATTGAGTCCGCCTTCAATTGTGGCCAAAATACTTATGTTTTGGGACTTTAATTGTTGTGAATCCTTGTGTTTGTCAATACATTCTTCGAGAAGATATAAACTTCTTTCGACCGAATGTTGAATACGTTTATTGGAAGCGTTTCAATTGTGGCCAAAATACTTATGTTTTGGGACTTTAATTGTTGTGAATCCTTGTGTTTGTCAATACATTCTTCGAGAAGATATAAACTTCTTTCGACCGAATGTTGAATACGTTTATTGGAAGCGTTAGAAGGGGTGTCACTGTCGCAGATGGCCTGATAGGCATCGGGTTTGAAGTTTGTCACCACATCTATCAGTTTGGATGAGTTAACAGTTTGTTTGCCTCCGCGACAAAAGACACCGATTCCTTCCACTGTATTGTGTCCGCCATTTATGGCAAGTAATGGATCATAAACTGAGACAATAGATGGCCTCCACTTCTTAAGGCCCGCAAAGTCAACGATTCCTGACTTCACGCCATTGAAGGCGGAGTTAAACTGACGTAAGGACTCATTCATGAGATAAGTGGTCGGAAGTGGTATAAGAAACGGACTGTTGTCGTCGTTGAGCTGATCCAACAGATCGGACACAATGTGCGGAACCGATCCATTCATTGTGTACTGAAGACATAGTGGTGTCGGATATTCAGCGGTTGTCTTAACGTTAGTCTCGTTATGAAGAGCATCGAAGAGAAGTGATCCAAGTCTTGAGCGATTGAGACACTCTTTTCTGACCATAAATTTCATGATTGTATGCAATGTTTGCGATTAACCGGCGATTCAATGAAAAGCCCACAAAACATGTGCTTTCAATGCAATCAAAACAAACATTACATGAATTTGTTTTGGTTTTCGTTTCATTCATACAAATCGTCTTTCAGTCAAAGTTTGCCCCAAAGTGTCGCTCAATAGGCGTTCAATGCGTTCATTGAATGCAACACTCATTACAATCGAGTCGTTATTCATGTGCTTTGCGACCAATTGTTGTCATTTATAAACGTTTTGCTCTCAAACTTGTGCTTCACTTCAATTCACAACTAATTAATTGTACTTTTATTTCACATTCAATTCAATTCATAATAATTTAGTGTTTTAGTGAACAAAATCGTGAATACCATTAGAGATGAGTGACTCAAACGAAAGCCAATCAAAGCCCAAATCAATCGCCTTTTCATTCACTAAAAAAGTCAAACAAAACACTGTTTTGTTGAACAATAAACTGATATCCGATGCAAAGACGGGAGAGAGGGCTGAAGACACAGATTTTGTCACATCTATTGATGGCAATCAGATCCAGAGTACTGTCCAGAGGGAGAGCAGGAAAGACTTAGTGATCCCTCTAATCGTTAATAACAGATATAATGTTAAACCGAAGAAAGACTCGCAAAACAAGCCAACAATGAGTGAATCGGTGGACACTATTGAGACAAATGAGACAATAAATGGCGACACTCTTGAAGATAAGGCCAGAAAAGAGCTCTTAAAAGAAGCGAATGAATTAATTGACGGCAAGAAGAAGACCGAAGT